CTGCGATGTGAAAAAATACCCGTGTTTTTTATTTATAAATGTTTCGCTTCTCATCATTTCAATGATGAGCTTAGATCGATGTTTTGCTTTTGTTTTTGCAATGAGGTACTACAGTTTTATCTCAAAGACAAACGTCACTATAGTCTGTATGGGAGTCTGGATAGCTGGATTTTTATTAACTTACGGTATGTTTTTTACTCACAACACTGTTCTTGGACTAACGTGTAATGTTGTCGTCTTAGTAGAGAGAAATGCAGTAAATATATCTTTTAGAGGAGTACTTTTATCTATTATAGTTTCTAATCTTGTCATATTTTGTTATCTTTTGTACCATATTCGAAAACGCTTACGTAAAATTTGTGCAAAGAATTTCCTGAAGCAGAATTCTTTATTTTCCAAAGACCAATCAAAAGTAGTACGTAAAATGTCGGTTTTTATTGGCGTTTTTATAACGGGTTATCTGCCCTTTATGACAATCTATACCCTCCCGATAGATTTGAACACAGAACCATGGAAAAGAATATATATAGCCTTTATTGTATTGATTTTACTGAACAGTGCCTGTAACCCAGTGTTCTATGTCTGGAGGTTTTCAGAACCCAGGTACCATATGAAACGCCTTCTCTGCTTCTGTAACAAGGCACTGATGAAAAAACTGGAGCAAGACTTCCGCAAGGTCCATGCTACATATCAGATATATTATACGCAGTCACAAATGCATCAAGATCAAAGGAAAACAGTCACAAATAAGAATGAAATGTAATTGCGAAAAATGAAATAACATCTTGGAATTAGCAGAAGAAGGACGAAATCAGAGCGTTCAAAATCGTAATTAGTAAGAAAAACGTCATCTGAAAATATTTTCATGTTCAAGTATATATTCTGTGAACTGTGGCCTGCTTAAAAATGATTTCTTTTAAAATTCATTTTGATACTTCAAACTGTATTAAAATTGTAAAACGCAATAAATTGCTTGACACTATAATAATATGTTGTTGTCATCTGCATTGAAAAGTTTTTAAATTTTATTTAGATACGACTTGAAAAACAGGAATATTTGCTTTATGGTGCTGTACTACATAATTATTATTTTTTTTATATATAAAATAGGTCCAAGATATACACTTTTAATACGATTTCAGCATTCGTTTTATTATTTGATTAAATTATTTCTCATGAAATTTTTTGTATTTTCTTTAAAGTTTAAATGTATTACTGTAGTTGAAGCAAGTAAGATACTTAAGAATTTATCATTTGTTTGTTTTTTTTTTAAATCAAGCTCATGTGTCGTTCAAGTAAATATTAGAGGAATAAACCCAGAACTGATATGGTAAGCTAGCGACATTTCTACGGCAAGGACAACATTATTTAGAGCATGCAGTCTATAGCTATCGCTTCAAAAATATTAATTAAGCACGTATGAAAAACGTCCGTAGTATTTTACTGATATAAAGCACGATAGCTAATTTCAGGATGATTCAAATATTGAATAGATCACCATCATTCACCTGAGTATCATGCAACAACTTTCCATATATTGAATCTGATGTCTTTTAAACCAAAGGCCATGGAATTCACAATTTTGAAAGAGGCACCCCTCCTCATCATAACTATGTACTTAGATCATCGGCATAATACCCAAGAACAGAGATTTTTCAAATAATTAATGCATTTTCACCATATATTCATTAGAGCCCCACCCTAGCACTAGAACCCCTGACCCAGGGGCCATGAAATTCATAATTCTTGAAGAAGCATCCTTGTTCATTGTTATTTGATTATCAGCACCAAAGCAGCAGATTTTCAAAGAATTTAGTGCTTTTTTACAATCATAAGAGCCCGCCCTAACACCGGTACCCCTAACCCAGGGGTCATGTTATGATGTAATTCCCAATTTTTGAAGGAGAACCTTTACTCATCATAACTAGTTAAAAAGATCAATTGTAAATACCCAGGAGCAGAGGGGTAGATTTTCAAAGAATTAGTGCATGTTCACTATAATCATCAGAGCCCCTCCCTAACACTAGTACCCCTAACATTCGCCATAAAATTCACAATTTTGAAAGAGGCTCTCTTGCTCATTGCCCAGGAGCAGTGAAGAATTATTTTATAGAATCCATGCATTTTATTGAATAATTATTAGAGTCCCACCCTAAAAAAAAAACCCCAGTGGTCATGAAATTCACAATTTTGGAAAAGGCACTCTTGTTCACAATAACTATATTTCAGTTTAGTTCATCGGCTTAATACCCAGAGAGAAAATTTTCGATGAATTAATACATTTTTACTATATAATCAATAGAACTCCTGACCCAGGGGCCATGAAATTCACAATTCCGGATGTATGGAGAGTTCAGTACTTAGAAGAATCATGCCAACAGTTTGATTGCCTGATGTCTACGAGTAAAGAGGATGATAGAATCTGATCAATTGTATGTCTATATATATATAAGATTTGATCATATGCCAACCCGTTTTACATCCCAATAAAACTCAAAAAATTATATTTACATTTGTGACTTATTTATACTTTAATTTTGCCTGATTGTGACTTATAACGTGTGAAATGCATTATTTTTCAAACCCAACGGCATGTATGTAATCCACTGAACGCGCGTCGACCCTTTATGACGTCACTGAGAAATTACGTCGAACATTTATCCATACGCACATCTATGACCTTTTGACCCCGTTTCTGTATTTATTTAAGCATTGAATTCATATTTTAGGGTGTCTTCAGTCCTATAACACACCTGGCCGTGCCGACAAATTGAATACCGCGCGTTACATTCTTTAATTTTCCCCCTACATAATTGTTATTTCGGTAATCTTTAATGTTAATTAGCGCCCTTCAAAACTGGTGTGCTTTATAGACGTAAGAGCCGCTTGTGACGTTTCAAGCTCCAAACAGCTCAGTATTACGTTACGCTACAACTCCATATCATCGCTGCCACAGGCCTTTTGATATGACCTCGTTCAACCGTGGTTGACTGCGTGACGTCACAGTTAAATAAGGCGCGCTAAAATTTAGAGAATGCTAGATCTAAAATGCGAGTAAAATTCTGTTGATACATGAAAATACATGCAAGCATTAGCGATCCCCTGTTTCAATATCATTTTTTTTATTTAAACATTTAATTCACATGTTTAATAATTATCATGGTTTATACACCATGTGCATGCGAGATGATTAATATGTCTTAAAAAAAATACTTGAGTTATCTATGTGCTAAGTACAAAATTCAATCAAATGCATTTAGTATTTTAGTTCAGACTAAAAAAACATAAGGTCCGACCATCATTAACAAGCTTTATGCAGCCTGTTTATTTACTGATTTATTGAATCGGTAAATAAAATTCAAAATTACACATAGACGCCGATTATATTATAGAACATAGAAACTGGTAACGATGATTAAACTGCTTAAGAATATTTTTTTAACCGTTCTATCTTTCTTTTTTAGCTTTTCTCCACTTTTTAAAATCTAAAAACATGAATAAAGACGATTGTTTTTCATACGCCCGAATTTAGAATTGGGGGAAAATATCAACGAAATAATTGAGGAAGTAAACAAATATTAAAAATCAAAATTCAATTTGCATTTTCATCATCGATAAACAGGAACGTAATATCGCTATAAAATATAAGCGGGCAGCCAGATTTTTTTTTTTACAATACAACCCCCCCATACAGAGAGAAAAAGACAGAGAGAGAGATATAGAGAGAGTAGCTAAAAAAAATGACTTCAATCATATTACCATTTTTGTTGGTTCAACCTTTTCACACAAATTTCATTAATATATCCATGCCAATTTCAGGGACGTAGCATCCGGGGGGGGGGGGGGGCCATGGCCCCCCCCCCCACTTTTTTCCCCAATATAACCTTTACTACAGTAAATGTTCATTGATAGGATGGTTGGCATCCCTACTTTATAACCATAGTATAGTGATAGCAAGGATTGTAAGGAAAAAATTGGAAGTGATAGTAAGTTGGCCCCCCCCCCCCCCCCCCCCCACGAAATAGGATTTTCGAGTTTGGGCAACTTTTAATTTTCGTTCTTTTTTTTTTTTTTTGCTTGTCAACTTTTTCGGGTAAGTAAAAAAAAATTTTCTTAGGTTGCCCCCCCCCCCCACTTTCAAAAACGATGCTACGTGCCTGAATTTGAATGCATCAATACATGTATACTTCAAGATACAAGGGGTGTCCTTTCAGTGAACAATTTCAACAGTAAATGGTTATGTTCGGACCCCCCCCCTTCCTTTACAACGTAATTGATTAAAATTCTGTTCCTGCATATCGGTCGTCATTTTATATACATGTAAATCTTGATTTATCTAAACTTCTCAAAAAGTCGGTCCCAGTGAGCAGTAAACGCTATTTCCATGTAGCATGCATTGCGTTGACAGAAAATAAAATATGCAACGTACGGACCAGTGGTGGATCCAGGAATTTCGAATTACATGGTCCTTTTGAGGGGTTGACAAATCCTTATAAATAAGAGATGCTCTTCCTTGATTTTAGGATAATGGACATATCAATTTTATGTAGAAAAATTTCAAACGGGGGAGGGGGGCACGCACGGCGCGCCGGCACGGGATCCGCCTTTGCGGACATTTTTTATTTTCTCTATCGTTTATAGAAAATCTTTCTCTGATTGGATAAAATGATTTCGTTTCTTTCAATGACAATGTTATCGTGCCATTTTATAACATTGGGTGAGGTGAAGATATTCAGAATTCTTTATGTCTTAGTTTTATTAAAATACAGTCACCACCTCCGTGCACTTTCCCTTGCAGTAACAGACTCACTACATGATTATGATATTGTATTCATTTTTTCTGTTGAAAATACATGTACAATGTCTGTCTCTAATCAGACTTATGCTTGTCAAGGTTTTTAGTATTTTTTTTAGTTTTACTTGCTATGCCCTCCCCCTTTTCATACATACTTTAAAACTGCTCAATGCCTGATTATTGTTTAAAAACCTCAGTGTTTCAAGTAATTATAAAAAAAAATAGTTAAGGCTTATTGTAATTAAAAGTAATACAGTACAATCAATTTAACTCAATGTAAAAGGGGGGGGGGGGGGGCAGCACAAATTTGCTCATGTCAACATTGTCCACAACTAAAAGAAGGTGAGGGGTTTTTCTGTATCTTTGTATTTTTTCCACATTCAATTTGATTCAGTAAAGAACAGAAATTTATCTCAAGGTGAATCTTCATGACATTTAAAAGTAAAATACATAATCCCTGTATGGCAGCAAAGGTATGATGGACTTGTATAATACTTATGAAAAACATTGCAAAATAAATACACATTTAGGGTGTTTTTCCTGGATTTCCGGTATCAAACTTGTTTTGATTGATAGTATCATACATAAATATAACAACACAATGAAACTCTGATGTGATAAGTTTATCATTTGCCTCTACATGTATTCAAATTAAAAGAAAAAAAAATATGTTGAATAACTGTTACTTCTACTTAAAAATATGTATGTGTAAAACAATGATACATGTGAAAAAAATTATCCCAGTTAAACAAGAGTGACTTCTTTTGGGGGCTCATTTTGTCTCTGAAAATCACATCCATTCCTTTTGTCTTTGAAGACCATATCCACTTTGATGGTAGGGTGCTGAGTGTTTGAAACAGTGATGCTGACATTCATACATTTCTGTTTAGGTAGAAAGGTCCTTCAAAAATCAGTCTGAAAAAAAATTAATTGTGATAAATAAAAACTTCTCACTGTCTGTTTACTTATACACACATATAAAAAAAACTGTCATTTATGCATCTAAATTTATGAATAACAGATACATGTAAATGTAAGGCATTCCAACAAATTAGATAATAAACACAATGTCATACACATGCAGTTGCATGGTTACAAAACTACATCATGATATTATGAATGATATCAGAAAACAAGATATTTACGAAACATTGATGCCCTGCATGGCAGCTTATGGCAAAGATAGAAGTTTTTCAAATGCAAGTCAAAATCCAAAGGTCAAAGTTAAATTTGGTTGTACCCACAGAAAGGTCTTTAGACTCTTTACATAAGGAATAAATATGTAAAATGTGAAAGCAATAGACCAACACATCCAAATGTGAGCTGCATTACAGATTTTGTGGACAAACAGGCAGAAAGTCAGAAAGAGAGACCAACAGATGGACAAACAGGGCAAAAAATATAAACTCCCAAATCTAAGAATATGGGGGCATAACAAGTCAAATACAATACATTATGATGTAACATTTTCCTGATTTACTCAAGCTTACTTTATACTAAAAAAAATAAAACTGTGGCTAGTGTAGGGATATTGCAATGTATGCAATGTATGCAATTTCTTTTTAGTCTTTTAACCTAATTAAAGAGTTTTCACTTTACTTTTGTTGTATTCATTGTAATGTACAGTATTCAGAACTGTTACATCATTATTTGTGAACTGATAGAATAAACCTCATTTTAGATTTTTTTAATCTTAGAAAATGAGATTCAGAATTTCATATATCAGAACAAAGACAAATTTATTTTAAAAATTTGAATCGTGACATTCGTGACAAGGCATTGGAACTGGAGGGGGACTTAGCCCCCCCCCCCCCTTTTTTTTTTTGGCAAAAATAGACATTAAAAACATACAGGCATTAAAAATTGGCATTTAACTTTTTTTGTTGGTTTAGCAATACAGGCATTCTTGACAGCATTGAGCTGCGTCGAATTTTAATTGCAAATATTCCTTAGAATGTAATCACATTGATTTTGGCTACATATATATCAGTAACTGTACTCCCTTGGATTTCATTTAGGCCTATATAATTTGCACACATTAATGACATTTTTTATTATATCCACAGATAAATAGACTAGACATAAAGAATAGAATTTCAGAGACAGTAGACATTACCATTATGCACAATGAGAAGTAAAGACAAATATCAATTACATGTATTACATTTACATTGGAGATAACAAACTCAGAAAATCAATGAAAAGGTTTCTTTTACCTCTACTCACTGAAATAAAGATTTAGGAAAAAACAAATTGTTAAAAGTATTGGGCCTAATGTCATTAATCGGAACGGAAATCGACAAGCTTTTTGTAGAGAAAAAAACCAAGCCCGGTCCTATAGGTCAAATCCCTATTTAGAATGAAGTGATCCTTTGATACTGTTTTGCGTGTTGAAGGAGATTAGGCCAAAAATAAAAAGTCTTGTTTCCTGCTACTGGACCTACCCTGTTTTTTTTTTTTGCACCTGACCCTAAAGTTTTTATTTAGTTTTTGAGGGGAAATCGAAAATTTCATGATCCAAAAGTGAAAAAATATACAATCAAGTGGTATTTCATGAAATATACATGTTTTTAATATGGACTTGCATGAAACACTACTTATTTTAAATGATAATATTGACCAGTGACATGTTCAGACCTGGGGTCAATTACTTTGAAATGTAATGCATTACATTACAATTACTTTGGAATTTTTATCATTACAATTACAATTACCATTACTCTCATTTACAAAAGTAATTAATTAAATTACAATTACTTTGTTAAAGTAATTAATTGCATTACACATTACATTTTATAGGAGCATTTTATAAGAGAAAAACACGAAACGTATCACTACACAATTTATACCTATAAATTAACTTTCTCACACTTTTTGCTCGATAATATGCTTTCCCTCAGATCTATAAATCAGAGTGGTATTTGGATTTTGGATTCATGTATCATGTTCATGTAGTTTATTAATCCAACACTTGACAAAGAAAGCAGATCAGAACACTTTCAATGTTGTAGTTTTGTTCAATATCTGATGTTAGTTTCTCTCTGTTGTTTTTGTTTTTTAAATAAATGATTTATTGAACATTTCCTACTACATGTAGATGTTTTATGTAAACTAATATTTAATTAACAGATAATGCTATAAATGTATGAGTATTAAAAACATAATGAATTAATCAGGATTTCTGATTAGCTTAACAGGTATAATCAATGAAGCCATAAATTAAACATGACCAAAGGTGATAATTACAAGTACTTGGATGTAGGGTTTAAATTTTGAGGCCTTAAGCTACCAAAAAATGAATGGTGGTCAATATATCAGTCTATATTCATATTTGGCCTTAGTTTCTCTTTGTGTCTACAATAAATCATACTGATCTTGTGTCATGTTTACCAAGTCCATTTTACCATATTGAAAAGAGTTAAAATAGAAAAATATAATTTGTATCTTAATTTAACTGGCAGTCTCACTATACCTGTATTAATATCACTTTTTTGTATCTTTCTTTAAAACCTGATGATTTCTTTTAATATTTTTCTTTGGTTTTCTTCAATTGATTTTACAATTATCTTAATTGTCAAGAAGATTTCTATTAGAGGAATTATTTAGTTTGTCTATAAATTAATTACCATTTGATATGTTTAATAATATAAAAAATATTGTAGGCTAAAGGATTTTAATTTTTAGACTCTAACATTATTAATAAAAAATAACCTCTCATTCATATTTATTTGTTTCAGATTCAAAAATAAAAAGAGACTAATTTACAAAATGTAATTGAAATGTAATTGAAAAGTGATTGGTCATTACTGACTTTTTTTAAAGTAATGAATTACAATACAATTACTTGTAATTTAAATATGGATCCATTACACATTACACCCCATTACTTTGAAAAAATGTAATGATTACAATGCATTACCATTACACATTACCATTACCCCAGGTTTAATTTGGTATTGTAATAATTCATATCCAACAAATACCATATTGGAAAAAAAAATAAATTGAAATAAAAAAAAAAATTATTTTCTGACCTACCTTCCCTATTTTTTTCAGGCTGGTAGCAGGAAACAAGACTATTATTTTTTTTTTGGCCTTATGATATTTGCATTTTTTACCTTCAATGTGATAATCAGGCAGTATCTGTCACAGTCATGAGTGCCTTACTCTGGTCCGAAAGCTGGATCGATAAAGCACCACAGTCCTATATTTTAGGAATTAAGCCTTGGGTGACATTGTAGTCATATCCTGGTGTTGTCCTCATTGTTCTCTCCCTTTCCTGTTAAAATCAAACTTTAGTTTACTTCTCTATTATAATAGTATTCTTCATTTTCAATTCCTCAGTAGGAAATATGTGGATTTTCAAAATTTGTAGCTTGTATAGATACATGTACATGAGATCTACAATGTTGTATGTGTAACATATGGTCTACTTGTATAACCTAGTTGAATAATAACAATGATTTTCTATAATTTTAAGACTTAACGTGCTAGAATGAGACAATCTATAATTAATTTTTAATTTTAATGATGTGTTCTAACTCTTCTGTTCTATGCTATAATTAAACAGGTCCAGGGAAATCAATATATTTAGCTATATAGCTTAATTTACCTATATAGCTTTATTTATCTACATTTTTTAAAAGTGTGTGTTTTTGTTTTCAGTCCATTTCAAAGTTGAAAACTAAGTACTGCTTCATTAAGCGTCTTTTTGTCTGCTTTTGAAAAACAGAAATTTACTCCCCCCCCCCCCCCCCCAAAAAAAAACAAAAAAAGCTACATTATAGAGGGCGGAGCCCTCTCACGGGCCCGAAGGGCCCGTGAGAGCGAAGCTCTCCATTTAGGTAACACGTATGTATATGAAAAATAAAAGAAATCTATTGTAAACTATATGTCAATTACAATACCTATGGAACTGAGATTCTTGTCGCCAATATGGCGTCCTGTAAAATGGCGTCGTTTTGATTCACGCGCAAATTCTCGTTGTTGATGAGACTTTCATCAAAGTGAAAACCATTTAATCCAAGTATAATTAGTAGTAATGGTTTTTTACTTAAAATCAAATCCATCTTCCAACTTTCGATTTAGACATTTAGATTTATTTATAGTTCGCGCTTCACAAGTATAACGGCATTTGATTGGTTAGAAATTCCCTATAGGCGGCGCTGTTGTCTGCACTATTGAGGAGCGGATCTATATGTGGCGCCTTTCACTAGACTGTAGAAGGAAAATAATCCTTATTTATTTGTTAATGAAATTTAATAATAACGAATGTCTTCAGGATTATTGTCAAAACATACCAAGCTAGAAATATAGTATTTTTTTAGACATACTATACAATTTTTTTGAACAGTTAAAAAAGTTATATTTAAAATTTAATACACTGTGAAAAGTCTAAATATAGGGACTCAATAAATGTGTGGAATATTTTTTTTAAAAATTTTTTAGGTATCCAAATTGTTTATAAATATCTACTTGTACATAGATATATAAATATTTAGCAGATGGAAGTCTGAGTCTCATTTTTGTTGTGATTTTTAAAACTCAATATTTCATTTTATGAAGTTTTTCAAATGAAAAAAATTCAGTATCTTAAATATAATAATCAAAACAAAAATCTTAATTGATATATATGAATTTTAAAAATATAGAAAAGATTTTTTTTAGACAATTGGAATTACATATATACTGTAAAGTCTAAAATTAGGAAAAACTAAGTTAGACAATGAATGATGTACAGTCTGGAGAGGTAGTTGTTCAGCATGTATCAGTAAATGCATGTAAATATACAGTCACAAAGTTATATGACTTCAATGTTGCAGTGCATGCTGTTAATGTAAAACACATCAAGCATATCAATATAGTTTTCTATCCTAATAAATGTGCTTTAAAACTTTTAAAAACATGAAGCAAATATTCAGAATTTTTGTTTGATATCAATAAAGTTAAATATTCAATTCAAACTTCTCAGAAGTGTATCCTACTATTCATAAGTTTTGGTTTTGAAATTATAAGATTAACCAAGTCTTAAACAACAAAGATACAATGTACCAGAAAAATTACTTTTAATTTCGAGTTTTTTTTTCTTCAGATAATTAAAAAGTATAACTGTTTTCAAAACGATTGTGTTAATGTTAGATTTAGAAAATTCGAAAGACTATTTAAATCAGATTTGTTTTAACAACATCAGCCAAAAAAAAAAAAAAAAAAAAAAAACCTGAAAAGTGAAATATACATTTTTCGTTAAAATAAAGAAAATAATCATAATAATTAAATCAATGGGTTACCAATTAATGTAAAATAAAAAGAAATAAATAAGAAGAAACTTTAAAAAAGATATATCACAACAGGGACCTAATACTAGTAAATGTCCCTAATCATGCATCCGTTGCAAATTTTTTTTCTCATAAAAGTTGTGATGCTGTTATATTTTCAACCTTCGTGATAGTAACACAGTCAAATTTGGTCTGATGATGAGATTCATCCAGGAAGTAGACCATCTGTCTGTATTTTAGGTCATCTGAGTTCGTCTTCTGATCTCAGTCTTGACAATATTGTTCTTACTTTAGATGACGTCATAACTATGATAATGTAATGGGAGTAATAACAGTTGAGAAATGACTTGAGGTTTCCAGATCAGTGTTGTTAAATAAGCATATGAATTAAAAGTAGTAAAAGACAAAGAAATGATGCTCAGAAAAGTTTATGAGTTGATTATTGTGGGATATATTTGGGAACAAGTTTACTGTTACATGCATTAAAGTTTGAGGTGTCGTTGGGCCGAGGTGTATCACATTTCTTGGACCTCGGTACGTTGAATCCCTTACTGGTCCAGTGCAGGCCGCTCCCTTTCCCCACTATACTCTTCGACGTTTAGTGCTCTGGCTAGACAACCCTTTGTCTCATGATGAAATATCTCAGTTAGTTCTTAGATTTATTACATGTATTTGAATGAAAAGTTTTTTTTTAAGAACTGAGTTCTTTGTTATGATTCTCTGACACTGACATACAATTTCAGAATTTAATTGATTTGTCATTAAACAATAAAAGGTAGCAATTTTCTCTTCATGGCTCCGCCCTCACTAACGGTCACACCGTCTAACATATTATAGGCAAATAAAGCTATATATAGGTATATTTAGCTACATGTATATAGCTAAATTTTGTGATTTTTCTGGACCTGTAAAAATTGGAAGAACTCATGGTCTAAATGGTTATCATAACGATGGACATGTGTTACTCATTTACAGAAATTGTTTCGTCTGATAAAGTATTCAAACTTTACCTTTTATCACATCAATGTTTCCTCAGCACTGCCATCACAGAATTTTTAGCTTTCATTGAGCTCAGTCTCATATTACAAAGCTCTTTTGTTTTCTCGAATATTCTCATCATTATTGATGCCATTCGCACAACCATGAAATATACCATTTCTCTTGCATCAACAGTTTTGTATTTCTATCAAATTCATTCAGAATGTGTGGTATTACAGCCATAAGACACGAAACTTCTCTCCGTTTCCAACGACGCATGGAAGCCGCCATTGCAACTTGGTGTAAACTACGCTTGAAAAAATAATCCGGATTTAATCGGATTGAAAAAAAATAAATCGTTACTTGCTGCTCTAAAAAATAAATAGAAAGATTGTTATCTTCCTTTATTTAAATCAATTAACTTATACAAAACATTCAGTTTGAATTTTTTGAAAACCGAATTACTCGCGCAAGCCAATTTTCCAAATTTTGGAAAAAGTTTGGAAAGCCTGTGGCAGTGGCGTTCTATTCGTAGGGAAAGTAGTCCCGGAGAATCGACACTGTATGGAGTTTGGTGACGTTTGCGACGTCGTAAAGTTAAATAACGCAAACGAACATTGCGCGGAAAAAAGTGACAAACTAATTTTAAATCCACATTTGATGTATCTTTTCGTTAATTCAACAGGGTTAATTTTTTTCATTAAATTGTGTCAAATACTGTACATTTTGGTGATCATAAAGTATTGAAAATGCATATAGTTCCTACTGTGTATTCTAACGCGGGGTGACAAGGTTTCGCGTGTGTTATAGAGATTTAAACGTCATGGATTTCTAATGGATTTCATAAGGAAAATTACACTGAATGTAAATATACAGTTATAAATACGCTTGCTTTCAGTAGTGTTATATAAAGGAAAACATTTGCAAATGTAAATAATTTAGATTATTATACTTCTGTTAAAATGTTTCCTATATAAAGTTTAGAAGGTAAAATGACTATCTTATATAGTTCACGCATAGCAAAGCTATTCCCCGGGGTATAGTTTTTCCTATCCACCCTTGGAGAATTTTCATGCAATTTTTGCCTCCAATTTTGATTTCCAGCGATAAATCTATTGACTGATGATGTCATAATGACTTCAGTAGCATTGTGACGTCATCAGGATTTCAGATTATTCTTGCACTATTATCTTTCTCCAAAAAAATTCAAACCTCAAAAATTATATTATACATCAGTATAATAAAACGCTTATCCACTGGTTGTGAGTGGGATAGCTCTTTCATCAAACCCTTGAAAGGGACTATTCCTCCCGGGCAAGCCCTCGGGGAATAGTTCCCTGTCGCGGGTTTGATAAAAGAGCTATCCCACTCACAACCAGTGGATAAGTGTATACTATTGCCATGGACAATTGTTGGCGAATAATTTCTCCAAGTGTCATCGGTATTTTATTCGAGTCGGATGAAATTTTCATCTCAATAATAAATGGAAAAAAACACACCAAATGTCTGGCCATGTATGATTTTTATTTCTTCCATGATTCTAAATTCAATTTTGGAATTTTTTCACACGCAATGAGTGGATTTCTGAAAAAAAAGGAAATGACTTAATTAATGCAATAGTGCATATATATTGTATTACTTTAAATAAGAATACATTGTATTAATATAATTAATAAAGGTCATAAGAAATATAAAACCAAATCAATGTGCTGATTTGTTCCTTAAGTAGTTTTCTCTTTCCCGTTTAATTAAACTATACTTTCGATGTTAATATTATGATTACTTACCCCTTATGTGGTACTTCAAAGGCGTCCTTCTGAACTTTGTCGATGTCGAGAGTATTACAAATTACAGAAGCCAATGTTACGCTGCGAATGGCCTGTAGCTGTTCTACATGTATTAAGGATGGGTATATTATCTTTTAATAAAAATTCTGTTGAAATTATACTCAGAAATATTGCTGAAGATTAAATGAAAAATACACTTAGTCACAAAATATTAGTTACAAGTTTTAAATGACAAATACATCTATTTCAGAAAGCTCAAATTTTCATCTAGTATAAATATAAATTCCTGCTGAAATAACGTCAGTAAAGCGAACTCACAAAAATGATTGGCAAGCTTTGATCCTCTTTACTTATTACCCATTAAATTTTTTAGTATCGATCCGGTCATTTTCGTAATTAATTATAATTTGGTTTTCTGGAGGTATTTCCGCACATTTTATTTCATACTATGCCCGAATAAAACAGCAATTTCTTTTAATTTTCATTCCGACAAAAACATCATATAACGTTGTTACGTGGAGTAATCTCCCTCTCTTATCTTACCCTTGTGTTCATACTTGTCTTTACCTGGAGTAATCTCCCTCTCTTATCTTACTCTTGTGTTCATACTTGTCTTTACCTGGAGTAATCTCCCTCTCTTATCTTACTCTTGTGTTCATACTTGTCTTTACCTGGAGTAATCTCCCTTTCTTATCTTACTCTTGTGTTCATACTTGTCTTTACCTGGAGTAATCTCCCTCTCTTATCTTACTCTTGTGTTCATACTTGTCTTTACCTGGAGTAATCTCCCTCTCTTATCTTAATCTTGTGTTCATACTTGTCTTTACCTGGAGTAATCTCCCTCTCTTATCTTACTCTTGTGTTCATACTTGTCTTTACCTGGAGTAATCTCCCTCTCTTATCTTACTCTTGTGTTCATACTTGTCTTTACCTGGAGTAATCTCCCTTTCTAATCTTACTCTTGTGTTCATACTTGTCTTTACCTGGAGTAATCTCCCTCTCTTATCTTACTCTTGTGTTCATACTTGTCTTTACCTGGAGTAATCTCCCTCTCTTATCTTACTCTTGTGTTCATACTTGTCTTTACCTGGAGTAATCTCCCTCTCTTATCTTACTCTTGTGTTCATACTTGTCTTTACCTGGAGTAATATCCCTCTCTTATCTTACTCTTGTGTTCATACTTGTCTTTACCTGGAGTAATCTCCCTCTCTTATCTTACTCTTGTGTTCATACTTGTCTTTACCTGGAGTAATATCCCTCTCTTATCTTACTCTTGTGTTCATACTTGTCTTTACCTGGAGTAATATCCCTCTCTTATCTTACTCTTGTGTTCATACTTGTCTTTACCTGGAGTAATCTCCCTCTCTTATCTTACTCTTGTGTTCATACTTGTCTTTACCTGGAGTAATATCCCTCTCTTATCTTACTCTTGTGTTCATACTTGTCTTTACCTGGAGTAATATCCCTCTCTTATCTTACTCTTGTGTTCATACTTGTCTTTACCTGGAGTAATCTCCCTCTCTTATCTTACTCTTGTGTTCATACTTGTCTTTACCTGGAGTAATCTCCCTCTCTTATCTTACTCTTGTGTTCATACTTGTCTTTACCTGGAGTAATCTCCCTTTCTAATCTTACTCTTGTGTTCATACTTGTCTTTACCTGGAGTAATCTCCCTCTCTTATCTCACTCTTGTGTTCATACTTTTCTTTACCTGGAGTAATCTCCCTTTCTTATCTTACTCTTGTGTTCGTACTTGTCTTTACCTGGAGTAATCTCCCTCTCTTATCTTACTCTTGTGTTCATACTTGTCTTTACCTGGAGTAATCTCCCTCTCTTATCTTACTCTTGTGTTCATACTTGTCTTTACCTGGAGTAATCTCCCTTTCTTATCTTACTCTTGTGTTCATACTTGTCTTTACCTGGAGTAATGTCCCCCTCTTTTACTCTTGTGTTCATACTTGTCTTTACCTGGAGTAATCTCCCTCTCTTATCTTACTCTTGTGTGTTCATACTTGTCTTTACCTGGAGTAATCTCCCTCTCTTATCTTACTCTTGTGTTCATACTTGTCTTTACCTGGAGTAATCTCCCTCTCTTATCTTACTCTTGTGTTCATACTTGTCTTTACCTGGAGTAATCTCCCTCTCTTATCTTACTCTTGTGTGTTCATACTTGTCTTTACCTGGAGTAATCTCCCTTTCTTATCATACTCTTGTGTTCCTACTTGTCTTTACCTGAAGTAATCTCCCTTTCTTATCTTACTCTTGTGTTCGTACTTGTCTTTACCTGGAGTAATCTCCCTTTCTTATCTTACTCTTGTGTTCATACTTGTCTTTACCTGGTGTAATCTCCCTTTCTTATCTTACTCTTGTGTTCATACTTGTCTTTACCTGGAGTAATGTCCCCCTCTTTTACTCTTGTGTTCATACTTGTCTTTACCTGGAGTAATCTCCCTTTCTTATCTTACTCTTGTGTTCATACTTGTCTTTACCTGGAGTAATCTCCCTTTCTTATCTTACTCTTGTGTTCATACTTGTCTTTACCTGAAGTAATCTCCATTTCTTATCTTACTCTTGTGTTCTTACTTGTAATCTCCCTTTCTTATCTTACTCTTGAGTGGGGTAATATCCCTCTCTTATCTTACTCTTGTGTTCATACTTGTCTGTACCTAGAGTAATCTCCCTTCATTATCTTATTCCTGTGTTCATACTTGTCTTTACCTGGAGTAATCTCCCTTTCTTATCTTATTCTTGTGTTTGTACTTTGTCATTTCCTGGAGTAATCTCACTTTCTTATCTTACTCTTGTGTTCATACTTGTCTTTACCTGGAGTAATGTCCCCCTCTTTCACTCTTGTGTTCATACTTGTCTTTACCTGGAGTAATCTCCCTTTCTTATCTTATTCTTGTGTTCATACTTGTCTTTACTTGGAGTGAACCCCCCTTTCTTATCTTACTCGTGAGTTCATACTTGTTGTTACCTGAAGTAATGTCCCTCTCTTTCACTCTTGTGTTCATACTTGTCTTTACCTGGAGTGAATCCCCCTACTCCCGGATTTTCGAACCAGTACCTGTCACCAAACTTCAGATCGTGAAACTGTTTTCCAAGTAAGCAGTTAAATAACGGTCCTAAAACGCTGCCCTCCTCTGGCAGTTCTGAAATTCCTCCAGCAAATACATCAATGTCAGATACTAATCTAGAAAAAATAAAACATACAGGATAATTTGACTTTGTCAAACCTGATAAAGTAACCTTGCAATTGTGCTTGCAAGAAAATTAAATGATTTTGATATAGTTACCATTAAATTTAAATGACAAGTGCATCGCAAAGCGTAGCATCCCCTCGCATAGATCATATCCATAAATCAAGGCATGCATTCAACATCGATCTCGATGCAACATGAGGACACTTCCGTTTCGCACAAAGGACAAACTTACCCATTCACACACACAAAGGACAAACTTACCCATTCACACACACGAAGGACAAACTTTACCCATTCACACACAAAGTGCATTACCATATCACCTTCCAATCTGTTGCGAGGGAATACTACATTTTGCGTTATTCCCATCCGCAAAATGATATAAAGAAAAATATCATAATAAAAATTTGTTTAAATGATATTCGATGTATAAACATTTTGCGCTGACTACAATACAAAATGCATGAACAAAAAATGCTATAATCTAAAACATGTTGTTACATAATGCGTGTTGTTTAAATTCTGCATTCATTTTGACACAGAATGTTAAAAATCTCAGCGTATTAATTTTTATAACATCATTTCATCATTCATCGTTATAAAAATGCATGGAAATTAATGTTGACAATTTTGGTCTTGTCATGGGTCAGATAAAACGAATTATGCCCTATAACCAAGTCAATAAATGTACTCATATAATGTTCACTGCGCTTTACGATACGCATTTGTTTGTTTTTGTTTTCTTAACAAGAACGGATGCATAAACTATGTGAAAAGTACTCATGTAATATAGCTTACTTAAGATTAATATTATATAATTATTGCTATTTTTGATTATTTTTTGATAAATCAGTTATTGCTGTTTTTGAGGTCAATACGATGATTTAGCCACCTTCAAAGTACAATATTCACTTCGCCCTTCCGGCTCAGTGAATATTATACTCCTCAGGTGTCTAAATCATGGTATTGACCTCAAAAACAGCAATAACTGTTTTATTATATGATCAAATGATAGCAAACTCTACAAGACTGTTGCTTTCAATTAATTGAAAGACTTAACGAGAAATTTCAACAAGAACACATTATCACAGGAAATATGGAACAGAAATAATTCCTTATATTGATCTGCAATAATCCTTATATTGACCTGGAAGGTCACGTGCAGGTCACTATAACGTAGTATTTTTCTAACATTGTTGAATCTCATCCAATCAGAGAGAAGAAAATTATTCAAGCATATAATAAAATTGTTTAATCTTATAAACGCACCACTCAGTCGTACACACTGGAGAGTTTTTCTCTTGTTTGGACATCATGATCCACCAGTGGCCCACTTATATTGTTTAATCTAATAAAAGCACCACTTACTCGTACACATTGGAGAGTTTTTCTCTGGTTTGGACGTCATGGTCCACCAGTTGCCCAAATGACTTAGGTACAATCAAACCACAATGTTTTCTCCAGGCCGTGTAAGGCGGCAGTCCGTGGTCACGCCCCCTTTGTAAATTTAAGGCAGGCAGATCAAAACTCTCGCCTTTAAAATCAACAAACAGTGTATTTCGAACAGCTGATTCAATTTGCCTGAAAGATTGGGGAAAAAACACATTAAAAGATTTTCAATCAGAAGAAAAGAATGTTAATAAAATGCTTTAATCATTTATCTTCATTTTTATATTATAGTAGCATAAAAACAAAGCAAGATTGGGTAATATGATTTAGTAATACAACCTGTCTACGAGTCTGGAGTTATTCTGTAGGACAAACCGGACCAGGTCTGGGAGATATACACCATTCTGGGTCACCACAAGATGAGGGTCCATCAGGGTGTCCTCCAGCTTAAAGGAGCGACTGGTCATGTCCTTGAACAGATACCCTAACTGTGGGGGAATCTGGTAAAAAATGTGAACTGCTACTATTATTTAAGGTAGATCCGGACATACCTTTGCATGCTTATATTTTCATACAACAGATGCTATGGAGGATTAAGCATCTCCTGCCAACCTGTCACATCCGCTGAGTGATACTTGTCATGATCGAGTTCACATAAAAATCCGTAGAAAATTTAGAGTGTAAATTAAGGCCTAACAATTTTAGCAAAAATAAATTCATTCAGCAATTTTGTTAAGTTATGATTCCTGTTTGATGAAAATAAAGAAATATCATCAAACCTGTGAATGTCCGAATCTGAAAGCAGCCGCTGCAAACACATTTTTGACAGAGGGGTCAGTTTCCTGATCGTACCGAGCCTCATAACCAGAGGTCCTTAAATAAAGGCTGCGTCTAAAATGTACATAAAAATTAGAACTGTAAATCTTTGCTTTGAAGCATAAATTAATTACTAATATCCAAGAGTTGTATAGTTATATGGAATGGACTGAGGGTTTCAATTAAATGAATTTAAAGGAGTTCTATCGTTCTTGAATTCTTGACATTTTCAATGCATTTTACTTATTTATCGATTAATCGTACAGATTACAATACACGTAAACCAAGAATCCAACTCTTCTTCATTATACATGTGTATAATAACTACCTTGCCATGGTCCTTGGTGACAATATTTTGGGTAAGTACTCTCCATAAGTGATGTGCTGCATTATGGCGCCTATAACTTTTCTGGTTTCTTGAAATATTTTGTAGGAAGACCATGACGTAGTTTTTGCCAGATGCTGGGCGATTTTGTTGTGTTGTCTCACCCATATGACGTGCATTCCTCCAAGGGACGGATTCTCACTCACCCTCTCATCCCCTGAAATAAATCTTACTATCTTACTATATGGATTAATATCTGACGTTAAGAATAAACTTTGATTTTGACGTAATAAACTGTATTTGGGGAATTCTGAGGAATTACATTATCAAAGCATGGAACCAGGGCAAACTTGTAAATTCAGTTTTAAAATTTTACATGATTATAAAACGTCATTCGTCTCATACTCTCAACTTTGCAAAAAATTTGTTGTCCCCTGCTAGTTCACTGTCTAACATATACATGTAGTAACAACTATAAAATTTTATGGAATCCAATCATACTGACAATTTAAAATTTTCAAACTTAGAAAAACCTTTCCTGACCTGCCCTGGGACAGTGGTCTCTGTCGTTGCTAAGGATCTTGCAAACACCCCCAGGAGGTAATAAATTGTACTTTGTAGTATTCAAACAGCCTAAAGAAAAAATAAAATTACGCTGAGAGTTATCAAAGGACCGATATCAGACAGACAAAATAATGCAGTACTACACCAACTTAACTTAGTAAAAATTGTGAAAAACAAACGATTTTTAAAATATAATTCAAAGTAGATTTGAGGAGGGGAAACTATTTTTTATGATCTTAGGTCACGGCGGGGAGTCTACGTCATCGTATGGGATCAGAACACACAACAATGAAGGACAAATGCTCCGCTTCGATGTAAGAAGTAGATACATGTACCTGGTATTTTTCCACTTATAAAGAATGAATATTAATTCAGTCTCCTGCCTAAAGAATGCAGAAGAACGTCAAGTACAATAAATTTTGTACGTTTGCTCGTGATAGTATCTTATTGTTCCAAACACTTCGACACAGTTTGTAAACAAAGGAAAAAATCCCAGGATGTGGGGCACACATTTTGAATATTCGACCAGTTGTTCGCTGGTCCAATTGTACTAGACACTTTTTTTTTCTGCTTTTATATCAGAATTAATATTTAAAAAATATCTTGATTTGTTTGACAGTTTATTAATATGCTCGAATTATCAAAGAAAAAAGTAAAAATCATATTTTGCATTTAGATATGATGCAGGCCACACCAACACAACACAAAAACGGATATTGGGCACACAATAAGTTGCTTTTTTCTCATTGCATACATATTTTGCATCGTCTCGAGCCGCGGTTCGGAGTCCTGCCAGAATTGGAGAATCGTACATTTTGGCAGTGGTTTGCGACGATGACACATCCTGATGTTTCCATTAGAGCGACTGATGTTTATATAACACTTACCTGCACAACCCATTCTTGCAATACTCTTTCAAATACATAGTTTCCAATTAGTTTACTTGTATCCTTGCAAAAATTCATCCCCCTCCTTTGAAAAAGTTCATGGATCCTCATATTCGTATTTATTAGACGTTTGACACAAGTTTGTCAGTAGTTGCAAAATTTATTGTACTTGACGTTCTTCTGCATTTTGTAGGCAGGAGACTGAATTAATATTCATTCTTTATAAGTTCAAAAATATCTACTTCTTACATCGAAGCGGAGCATTTGTCCTCCATTGTTGTGTGTTCTGATCCCATACGATGACGTAGACTCCCCGCCGTGTAGGTTAATGCTTGTCAAGATAATTTAATTTTGGTTGTAACGCGTCATTTTATTGGATAAAAAATTAATCTAAATTGTATAACCTGGATTGCCTACGTCATAATGACTTACGTCAAAAACGGATCAATACGACTGACGTTACCGTTTAAAATATGAACAATTTGAAGACGTTTTAAGGGAGAAGTTGTTTTGTTTTCTATACTTAATAATTGAAAATTAAGTTATAAGGAATGAATTAAATAGCAACCCAGGTTAAACTGGTATAACCGCGTTTGGAGCAGTTTACACTTTTTTTTTTATAAACCCCTTCTCGGTTTATAAAGCGTAAACTGCCCCAACCCAGGTTATACAGTATAACTTGGATTGCTATTTAAGGGGGGCCGACTGGGGTTTCCATTGCGCAATATTTAGTAAAACGAAGCGTATGTTCTGTTTTAAAGCAACTTTCTTCACTTAAATTATTAAAACTGAACAAAATTAAGAAATTACGGGTTGTACAATTTTATTACAATTTTAAATTACTGATTTTTAAACGATTTTTTAAGTGATAGGTGTTATAAAGTAAAAAGTAATAAATATATTCTCTTGAAATTTGAAACGTACAAATTTGACAATGTCTCTATCATATTTATTATTTTTTGTATAAATTATTTGTATACGTCACATTTTGTAGTACTCTATAAAAACAAGGAAATTCGTTATTTTTTGGCATTTTGAGATGGCCCCTCTGGAAACAAGGCGGTAGAATTTTGTCGTTCTTATATATAATGTACAATATAGAATTACTCATCATATATTATAGTGTGAGCAGAAAGTCTATTGTAGTATTTGTATAATTTGCTTCAAAGAGCGAAAAATTGGCACTTTCCCATATAATCCTATAGTAAATATAGCAGTATTTTGAGATGGTCCCTTAAAAATAGATTTTCCCCAAACTTAACATGTACATTGAATTCAATGTAAGTTAGATGGTATAAAAATAAAAGTTTCTCTATTGTAGTTTTCCCACAATAAAACCCCAGCTGGCCCCCTTAATTTATTTGGGAAATAAATTGCTTAATACAAACCGTTGGGAGCGTTCAGTAAAGCATGCGATGATAGACTGTTGCCGTAAACGTTTCCAGCATCGATATATGACGTCAGACGATTGACCTGCTCCCGATGACCTTGAAAATGATTAAACTTGATAGGAATAAACGACGAAATGATATTATGGTGTCTATGAATGTACTTTTTTGTAATGATCAAATAGATGATCATATAAACTGTATATTTAAATGTAAATTCAGAAATGAAGGTTTAATTACTTCTTAAACATACTGAGATACTATAACATACGCTATCTGTAAGTAGCAAAAAATCTTGGAAACGACATCTCTCCGATTTTGATGAAATCTGCACCACAGGTACACCTTGGTAAAACACCAGCAAATATGTTCTTAGAAGTTTCACACCCGGTTGCCATGGAAACGGATTCATCGAAATTGGCCGTTTTTGGCCTTTTTTTGCCAAACAAAAAAGAAAATTAAGGAAATGTAAATGCATTTTTGTCTTTTATGTAATAAAATAAAATATAAATCATTGTATTATAAGAAAACATCAACTATTAGGGTATACATGGCATATAATCGGTTATTCCAGAATTAAAAACACTCTTAGAAAAAGGTCCTGCAAAATGATAATTATAGTTTCTGAAAATGTGAAAAATGTGAAATTCGGTATTTTTTGAGAATTTTAAGGTTAAATAAAAAAAAAATTGTCTGCGGATATTTTTCAAATCTAATGCATGTCTTTATACTTCAGTATAAGTAGTGTCATCTTGTAAAAAAAAATGAGTTGGGTCTCAATGCTATTTTTAGTAACTTATATCTATAGACTTATTTCAGAAAAAAAAATTTGAAAAATCAAATTTGGGCAAAGTTTAACATGCCCTTTGCTAAGTAATTAGGAATATACCGTTAAAAATAGAAGTGAAAGTCACGGGTCTTTCGGATGTGTCCTCAAAAGCGTAGGTTCTGTGTCATGGTAGACGTTGGCACGATAAAGAACCCTCACTGCTCAATGGCCCTGAGTGCCGAGTATAGATCCAAATTTGAAGCCCTTCACCGGCATACTGTGACGTCTCTTTATGAGTGAAAAATTCTCGAATGGGACGTTAACCAATCAATCAATCATATGCGTCTAATTTCAAACATGTGTACTATTTATAGAAATGAGAGTCTATCCTCAATAATGTGTGGGTTATTGTATTATTCCCTGCTCTTATTGATGAAACATTGGAGAGACCGGTACGTTTATTATTTATGGTTTAATGGAGCTTCCAAATGATAGAAAATAGTCATTTTTCAACATTTTATGAGACATGTCTATTTTTAGGCGTTTGAATCTATAAATAGAAAACGGAACCCCCTTCAAAAATATGCATAGTAGTTATTGGTGTCCAGTTTCTTTCATTAGCATATTGACTTTTACAATATATTGTCTAATTACCTAGCAAGGGCATCTTAAACTCTGCCCAAATTTGATTTTTTGGATTTTTTAAAAAAAATCAGTCTATTTATAGATAAAAGTTACTAAAAATAGCATTGAGACTCCACTCCACTTCAATTTTTTTCATTTTGCAGACCTTTTTCTAAGAGTAGGGTTAATGCTGGAATAACCGATTATTTATAATATATTTTTTGGGGTCAAAAACAGGCCCAATTCAATGGCAAACGAATGCACGTGTGGAACTTCTAACACCATCATTTGTGCTGGATTTGTACCAAGGTGACCTGTGGTGCAATTTTTATCAAAAGCGGAGAGATGTCGTTTCCAAGCCCTATAGTAAAATTGTGGTGCTTACAGAGAATGCATGATAATATCTACTCAAAATCCCGTATAGTATGTATTGTACTTTTGATATTTAAAAGACATACAAGAAAAATTTACACAAAAAAATTGCGAACAGTTACATGGCTTGGTAACAGATTTGAAGTTAATACTTTAAAAATATGGTAATGTAATAATGAAAACTTTAAACTCTGTAATCAAGAAAATTCAGAGTAAAACGTTTGAAAGCAAAACCTACTTATCAGCATCACCCAGTCTCTGCTCAGTGACGTGCGAAGACTAAACAAGTTGAACACACCCGGTAAAACGTTAAAGTTAACAGTAACAGAGTTTGTGCCGTATTTACATAGGCAGATGTTTGTTGAAGAATGATTTGTCATTGAATTCTAAGAATATTTAAAAAAAAAATTCAACTCATTTAACTGAAGTTTTGAAAAGAATAAAAAAATTAACATAAAAATAATAAAGATAAAATAATTGAAAAAAAAATGATTAAAAAAATAAACTAAGAAAAAAAACAAACAAAACAACAACAACAACAACAACAACAACAACAACAACAAAAAATGTAATACAACTGTGCCCGGGACCTTTTAAGTAAGAATATGAACATTTTTTAACACACAATAGTTATGAAAAGATATGAAAATAATCTTCTATTTTTGTTTCGATTACCACTAATATACATGTATATTGATAACAATAACAAGTTGCATTTAATCAATCCCACTAACAACCTCCCGATTTTTGTACTGTATGACGACGGATGTGCAAATGCTGTTCTCTGATTTGCCAGACTGGTTTCTTTTTAACTTTTATTTTGTTAAAAAAAAGTTCCGAGTTACTGGTTTCATGTTCATGGAAAATCTCAAAACCTCGTCATCTTATCAACAATCACTAAGTTTAACTCTCTATATCCTTATTATTTTTTTTTTTACACATATTGCAATCAAAGAGAGGTAAAAAAAAAATCGTGAAGAACAGGAATCGGTCATGACAACAATTGCTCTCGTTAAATTATAGATATATAATTGTCATTTTGTGAAACCCTAATTAGGAAAGTGAATTAAAAAATTATTGACAAAATCTTTTTATGATGATTAGATTGTTTTGCGGTTAATTAGTTTTTTTTTCATTCAGGTATAATATAGATAAAGTGCAATCATAAATTAAGGTTATTATTACTTGAAAATCAATGTTTATTGCCGAGACTTTTTATGACGCTTTAATTTTACCTGGTGCACAGCCATCAAAAGACTCTGCTGGCATTGACCTTGAGAAGGACATACAACGTTGACGCCCCCTGAAATGTGGGTCGTTGGCTGGTATTGAAATTTGAAGACAATCGATACTAAAATGGAATACAGAATTCTAATTATTACATTTTATTGAGCAGCTAGGATTTGCATCAGTAATAAAATTTCTTCCGGAAGTGCAAGTATAATTAAATGTCATGAACTAAAGGTGAATTTTAATTTTTTTTTATTTCCCAGGCATCAAAAACGTTTTGATCAAAATTACATATTCACTCTCCAACATGTATATATTTATATACATGTGTAATTATTTGCAAAAGATCAATATATACAGACAAATAAAGCATTCAAAGACACTATTTTTAATATACATGTATATGCATATCAATAAAATACCGGGTATTGATTTAAATAAATAGTGCCTTTTATTTTTAAAAACTTAATAAGGAATGTATACCACACTTTGTTCAATGAAATCAAATGCCAATATACAGAATCATGTGTCTTAGTGTAGTCTACGTGTATGCCAAGCCATAATGAAATCAGACCAAAACTGCAGGAGGAGTAGCGTTTTGAAAGTATTTCAAGGAGATTTCTATTTTGACATATAGCAACAACGTTCACTGAAATCAAAAACTGTTATATTTATAATTATGTATTTTAGTATAGACTACTTGTATGTGCTAAATTATACTAAAATCAGATCAAAACTGTAGGAGACGTAGTTTTTTGCAAGTACTTCACAGAAATTTCTATTTATAGTAACTATGGAAACACTGTTCATCGAAATCAAATACCGATTAAGAGAATTATGCAGCTTAGTGTAGCCCACTTATGTAGTAAGTTATATTGAATTTAGATGAAAACTGTACGAGGAGTAGCGTTTTGAAACTATATCAGAGAAATTGAAATTTTTGCTTACCATGGCAACACGGTTCATCGAAATAAAAATCGACAAAAGATTTATGTTTGTTATTGTTGTTTACTCATGTTATTTGAAAACATTCTTACAGTCGGACAGATAGACAGACGAAAGGATGACAGGAAAATTAAGATTCATAAGCTCTTTTTGTCTCTGAGCAGTAGAGATAAACAAGAGGGCCATGGGCCAAATCGATCACCTGAGCACTATGCCTAGGAAAAAAGCAAAAATCAATCTAGTATTGAAAAGCTTAAATGCATAAGTGGTCCGGACCTAGCCCTTAAAGAGTGGGGAGTATGTTTTAAATTAATACCTTGAATCTACACTAACTAAGAATGCTAACACAGAGTCTGACACATCTGTTTCATACTTGGATATTTTACTTGAAAAAGACGTTGATGGTAATCTAACAACCAAGCTATATGATAAACATGATGACTTTAACGTTTCTATCGTCAACTTCCCTTACTTATGCAGCAATATACCTTCATCACCTGCATACGGAGTGTATATATCTCAGT